AGAACGGCTCTCGAATACCGGGCGGGAGCCGAGGAGCGAGCGTGCATCCCGCCCCACGGAGCGCATCCCGCCCCACGGAGCGCATCCCGCCCCACGGAGCGCACCCCGCCCCACGGACGGGGTCCAGCCACCACCGCAATGCAATTGCCCTCGGACGCCGTGAGCGAGGAATCCATTTATTCTTAAGACTCAAAACCATTATTATTAATAGTTTGTTTCTCAGCACGCCACACCCCACCACGGCAAGACGGTTTGGTCTCTCTGTTTCCATTCCCCTCCCGGAATCCGGGAGCAGAAAACACTTAATTTCTAACAGCGCAAACAGACCCGACCCACCGCTCCCCCCTCCCCGCCCCAGCTTCGCAGCAGCAGCGTTGGGAACAAGACGCGTGTGCAGGGAGACCAGGTCTGCTCCCTCCTCGCCCCGCCGCCAGCCTGGTGGCACTAGGGACAAGCCAGCCTGTTTTCCAGCACCGGCATAAGGAGATGCATTTTCTAGTTTCAAGGTGCAATAAATTAAGGCACCGAAAATCCAGGACTCTCCAAAGATAAAAAGCCTGCGCAGACGGGAAGGGGTTCCAGTTTTGAGAGAGAGATCTTTCTCCCACGGCACGACAAGCGCTCGCAGGAGTGCAGAGGGGAAGCCCCCCTTCCAGGTGTTTGTACCTTGGCAAAGGGGATGTTCTCGGTGCGCATCACGTGCTGCAGAAGCGTACCGGCAGTGCTAGGAGAGCCCGCAGACAGACAGCCTAAGGTTTAACATCAACTTCTCACAGCGTTAGCACTGGCCCAGTAACGTTACTGGGAAGAGCCAGGACAAGGGACCAGGCTCCGGGCTGGGGACCCCAGAGCTCAGCGGAAAGCCTGAGGGAACGGCTCAGTTATTCCCTGGTCCTGCAAACACATAATCAGAAGGTAAATCGCCCAAGCTCCACTCTTTGCCAGTGCCCCTAGCACAATTCCACTGCCTGCACGCGTCCCGTAGGTAAGTCCTGTTTCCCATTTTAAGATTGCCTGTGATCCCTGTGCGCGCGTGACTTCAGTTGATCTCCCTTCACAATTCTGTGTCATTAAATAGCAAGAGTCAAAAATTCCAGCGCAGCCCAATTCATTCATACGCTTAGGGGCTCTTTTTTTTCTGTACAATGTCAGTAAAATGTATAGGAGTAAGCTACTTTATTAAATCCACTCTGAAAACCATTTGCCCCCTCTCCCAGCTCAGCCACCCTTCCCAGACACGTGGCAGCCGTCCAGCCAGACGAGCACGAAGCCATCGGGCCACCCTCAGCCCGGAGGAACACCCCAGCTCGCCCCTCGCAGGGCGCCCCGCCACCCAGCAGCCCGGACGTCGCCCCGCGCGCGGTGAACTCGCCAGCTCGCCTCAGGAGTCTCACGCTCTGCCTGACAAGGATTCAAATTCACAAAAGAAAAAGCATTAAATAAGTCGTTAAGAGTCTGAAGGTTTCCTAAAGCAGGGGGAGTCTTCACCTGCAGAAGGAAAAGGCTGTGGCCAAGCTTCTACGAATCACGCTGCACGTTAATCAGTGTATAAGCGACTTTGTTCCCGTGGTAGATTACATATGCACAACCTGCTGTGCTTGTTCGCTTCCGGATGCAGCCCTTCCAGAGCCTGGGTTTAAGCTACACTCTTCATTCAAGCACAGGTCTTCATTAAATAAAGTGAACAGAAAAGAAAATCAGCATTCAGTCTTCACCACCACACTCTAACTCGATTAAAAAAAAAAAAAAAAAAAGTTCAAAAAAAAAATCAATGCAAACATGTCTTTTACAAATGGACAGTAAACAAATATCTCCCTGGATGAGACATGCAGCCGCCGGGGACAACGGTTTCGAACAGAAAGTGATGTTTGGAAAGGGCCCCACCAGACACACGGCCCGTGAGCTTCCCAAAAGCGCACACACCACCGACACAACACTTACTGAGGTGCTTCTCCAAGCGGTGGCTTTGCTGCCCTTGGCGGGCTGGCGGGAAGGGCCGGGGGCAGCTGAGCCTGGCTGCGCTGCT